CTCTTTGCCTTTTTTTTCCCGCTTGGCGAAAAATGATGCAAAAAAACGCAAAAAAAAAAAAAAAAAAAAAAAGAGCAAAAACTTCAGAGGTTTTATCAGAGGAGTCAGCGCAAGAGCCCCGAGTTTGAATGAGGGGGGCAGGAAAGAAAGAGAGTTAAAATCAAGATACAGACACAATATAAAAACTGTTAAATCTCAGAAAACTTTTTTTGTTTTGTTTTAGGTTAGTAAGGACTTCTAAGGTCATTTCATTTCGCTAAATATAATAGTTTTGAGAGGGATTTTTTTGGTATTTGTTAATAAGAATCTTTTTCATTTTTTTCTTATCTACTTTCTTCAAACACAGTCATTTTACCACTGACTCGCAGTTTGCTGGACCTTTGGTCTATTCCGCCTGACCAAATTATAGCCTTTTAGCCACATTATAGCCTTTTAGCCACATTATAGCTAATTTGGTGGCGTGCTTAGGGTCATTGTTCATTTGGACAAACCATTTTTGCTAAGAGCTTTAGTTCCCAGCTGATGTTGAGATGTTGCTTTAGTTTTTCCCCCCTGATAATCCATTACTTCATGTTTCTCAGTTGTATAAATAAATGATGTGACAAGGAGAGACATTTCTCTTTGCCACAGACAAGAAAACATGCCAATAAAATAAGGCAACCATGTCTCTATTAAAAGCTAAAGTTATGCAGCTTCTCAGCAGTAAGAGCAATAGCTAAAGGGCTTAAAAGCTGGAGCTGGAACAAGCTGAACTGAACACCATGGACAACGACAATGATGAGACAGAGGGAAAGACTGAACTACTATAAGACTTTATAAACATCTTTGTTCAGGCGCCAAGAAATGTGGAGGGAGGCGCTAAATGTCAATTAGCTTTATCGTTTGTCTGAATAAAGTGTTCCTTTTAAGACAACATAGAAAAATAATATTGTGCTAATCAATGTTTATCATCCGCTTCATAGGACGACGAGGACTTTGAAACCCCAAAGAAAAAATGGCCAACCGTAGATGCCTCCTACTACGGAGGAAGAGGAGTGGGGGGGATCAAAAGGATGGAGGTAAAATGCATGCAAATCTGATGCTGATCAAAAGTGAGGACCTCAGAGACAGGGGGTTGTCAAACATAAAAGATGTTGAGTGACAGTGCAATCACTGATTAAAGTTTGCCACCAGGTCCGCTGGGGAGAGAAAGGCTCCACGGAAGAAGGAGCGAAGCTGGAGAAAGCCAAGAATGCCAAAGTGAAGATGCCGGAGCAGGAGTACGAGCTGCCGGCCACTCGGGTTCTCAACAACGGCATGCAGAAACCTCCGCCGCCACACAAGTGGTACTCACCCATTAAGGTGACGCAGCAGCAAGTTTGCAGCAAATTCAACAAACCTTCCCATGAACTGTTGATGACTGAGAGCCGAATTACTCGGGGTTTCCAAACCTTGCTTGTCTGAAGTGAGATTAAAGCTTTTCCAACATTTCTCCTACTCTGGCAGATAGCTCTCACTCAAAACAACCCCGAAGAGTTACAGATCTCAACTGCTCATTATACCCAAAGACTTATGATCTGTGAAGTACTTGCTAAACAAAATCTAGCGTTTGTCTCGGCAAACATCTAATTTACTAAAACATTCAGAACCGTTTCATAGCTCTGCAGGGACAAAGCGTCTTTCTCAGCTGCGAGCATGTGTTGAGGATAAACGTACAACATCTGCTGAAAGTCATTTCATGCTAGTCAGGATGAGGATAATCAGGTATTACCGTGCTGTCGCATTGAAAAAGCTTTGAGATGTATGAAGGCAATAATGTCTGGTGACTGCTGGGATGCAGCGCTTTCCTTTAAGGCCAGCACGGGGTTAATGGAGTGAAGCGTTTCCAGTCAGCGGGGGGATTGCTAATAGAAGCCAGAGCGCTGTTGGACTTGACCTCTAGGGAGGAGGACTGCAAAGCCAGCAGTTTGGGAGGGAAAACAGCTGTGTTTTCTGCACACATCCCTGAAATATTTACAGTTTTTAAAAACTATGAGGAGACTCTTAGCACCAAATCCGTTTAAAAACATCTCAGAATTTGTTTTAAATTTCTACCATAAAAGAAGACTTCATCTGTTGCGTGTAACATTACAGTTTCCTGTTAAAAGTAAAGTTTGATCTTTGATTCTCTGCAGAGCAAACTCGACGCCCTGTGGGTTCTGCTGAAAAAAGGCTACGACCGCGTGTCTGTGATGAGACCTCATCCAGGAGACAAGGTAAAAACAAAAAAAAAAAACAACCTCAACGTGGATCATATGTCTTGGTTCTTGGGCCTTTAACCAAAGACGATGAGAATTAGGAATGAGTCTGTTGCATCTGAGAACAGCTGTCTGCAGTGAAGTGCGAACTAAAAAGCCTCATGGGAAAAATGCTTGGTGAGTTGAGATTCTGAGCACAACATTTGGCTGGAGAGTTCTGCAATGCAGGGCTGTCTGGTGAAGTCATTACAAAGAGGCCAGAGTAATTGCTGCAAGGCCAGCTGCAGTGGGACGGTAACAATGTGATGACATCAGAAGTTGGCAGCTGAGATGTGAAAAAATAAAAAGAGAGTTTGAGGGAATTTTGTTTGCGATGGTCCTTTACCGCAAGAGTTTACGTAATGCTTCACATTGGGTACGTCAGACGACGAAGTCTGTGAAGAAGCTCAAAGCGGTTGCAGTCTGAGGCATCTTCAGATCCTTTCCTCTCATTTCCCGGTTGCACATTTTAACAGCAATCTGACATAATCCTTAGGTAAATTATCTTGACCTTTTTGCTTAATTTCCAAAGTATGATATTAAACGGTTTTGACTATATTAAACAACAACCCATTGTACAGTCTGGACCCGATTTGGTCCTGTTGCTTTTACTGAGGGTGGCAGACAACTCTGTGGATGGTTCAATTCACCAGAGAACATACAGCTGCCTTTACCTTAAATGATATCCACGTGAGCACGACTGAGACGTGACGTCATGTTAAGTGGAAGAAACATTAGGAGCTGTGTTTCAAACTGGAGTTTTACCTACACTATGCCAAGCATATAGGGTGGAAATGTATATTAGCGAATCGAATGCCTGCATGAGACACCGACATCTGATGGCCGACCGATGGTGAGCGCTGACGCCGTGGCATAATTATGCCTGCATTTCATTTAACTGTTTACATCCGTCGCTGCCATGATTTTTACAAATTGTTGCGTGGACAAGTTTATTCACGTGTGACTTTAATTTCATGTCATTTCTTATTTAATGGAAACACTGCAATTGTGAAATTGTGTTGTTTTTTTTTTTTTTTACATTAACGGAATATAGACAAAGGTTTGTGCACATTTGTAGCGGAAACGCAGCTACACAACAACATGTGACTTACATGTGTGTCGTCTCAACATTAATCCAGCAGATCCTTCCTTTTCGGCTCCAAACTAGCACTATGTTGTTATTCTGCATCTGTTTTCTTTCTCTCGTTTTATTAGTTTTGTCATTTCATTGTATTTGAAACCAAAATGAACAATTTCCTGATTCTCTGGGAGCAGTGTGTAGGATCGCAACACTCAAAAAACAGACTGCTGGTCGTTTAAAAGTTGTGAGCTTCACATGTTTCTTTTTTTTTTTTCTTTCAAAATCTTTAGAGATTTTCCACTTATCTAAATCCAGAGTTTAGTTGCCTAAAGACAGAAGGCAACCATTATGATAAATGCTGCCATTTTTACAACTCATTTAACTTGCAACTATAAAACATGCAGTGAACTTATGCATCCCACTGTGGATACCTGGCTGCAATCCCATTAAATGTAGAATAAAAGCTAATTTTCTTTTCATATTTGACAAGTTTTAGTTTATCCTACTTGAAAGTACAGCTTTACATCAGTGAATGCCCAACGTGCTTTTTGAAATCAAAGTTTAGAGGACAATGTTTCTGGTTCTTCTCTATAGTTTACCAACAACTTTGTAATTATATAAAACTAGGAAGACTTCCTTCTTATAAAAACTTTAAAGAAGAACAGTTTAACCTAATTTCCTTAAGCAGTTAAAAACCGGGTTCTTATTGCAATTAGAAATTTCCTGTCAAGCCCTAAACTTTATGACTTAACCAAAATGAGTTCAGTGGCTGGAGGGTGGAAACCTGTTTCTTTTCCTGCCGACGGCCAAAGGAGAACTGAAGTCGGCGCTCTGCATGTGTTCATTTCCAAGATTTTTGTATAATTTTAGTGGGCGGCATATAAGTTATTACGTTGTCCTATTACAGTTCGGTTTAATTAAATATGCATGTATTGATGTGACCCTTTGAAAACACAAATGCAACTTGTAACATTCATTAAACAAAGAGTAATCAGAAAAATCTAGTTAGAATCATCACAATGAAACAAGATTTAAAACTAAATCAAAAAAGGTCATTTTATTCATATGACCAAATTTGCATACAACTAAAATGATTAATTTGTTATGACAACATGAAACAAGGTGTTAGTAAGATTTTACTTTTGGACCTCATGAGGTTTTTTTTTTTCACTCTGTGCAGCTCGGTGGGGTCGCATTGACCTCAAGCGCATTTTTGCAAAGTTTTATTTTGTGTGGTTTGGGGAACTGACGGTCTGATGGGACAACTCCGCACTCCTGCATCTCGACAGTGACATTTGTGGGAGGGTTAAAAGTTAATTCTGCATTCCTTTTAATGGCTAGTAGGGGGCAAAATCAAGACTTTATATGGAGCTATGCAAGTTTTTTTTTTTTTTTTTTTTTTTTAATGAAAGTGCATTTACTTACTCTAATAGAATATTTTCTGTCTTAAATTTTTAGGGTAGATGTATGAACTTCAGCCGCATGAAATCACAGCCTCCTCGCTACCCCAACTTTAACTGCCATCCCTCACCCATCTGCAGCCCCCCCAGCAGAAGTCCTCCTCCACCACAGGGCTCCCTGCCGCCGACTCCTGGCAGCCCTCAGTCATTTTCCTTTTCCCCGCTTCCATCACCGCCTTCAACTCCTCCTCCTGCCTCCCCCACTCCCTCGCCACCCTCCACGCCCCACCCTTACACGCCGCCTCCCAAACGAGCTCTTCCTCCAACCTCCATGTACATACCCGCTCCACCTGCGTCCCCGCCCACCCCTCCGCCCTGCGCGCCTCCGGCCGGCCCGCTGCCTCCTCCTCCACAGGGACCTCCCCCCGGGCGAGCCCCGCCACCCGCCCGTCCGCCGCCTCGTCCCGGCCTGTAGAGCCGTGGCGTCACACAGCAGAGACGCAAAACTGAAGGACAGCAGCGGTCAGTTTGCAGAATGTTTCCTGTGCTTTGAAGCAAGGACATGAGTCTTCTGCCTTGTGGAGAGAGGCCAGGGACACTTCCATCCAGCTATTTGTCTACACTGACTTTTGTACGCATCTAGCAGAACAGTGCAATTACTCAGATGCTTGAATTACACTCTACAGTCCATACGAATGAGATCATGCAGACCGGGTCAAGAACATTTGTGCAGATGATGCTCAGAGGTGCCACAGAACACCTCATGAGTTTGGATGAATCCTCAGGAGCCTCACGGACTAAAACGTCTGCACATTGTCGGCCCTCGACAAGAAGCTAACCTGTACTGGTCATGACATTAAAATGCATGCTTGTCAGTTGTAATATTTCTAATTAGAGATGAAACTCAGGCTTCAAATGTTTTTTTCTTTTTATTTTTTGGTTTCCAGCAGATTTACAGGAATCTGAAACTCCTTGACATTTGTTTTATGTTTCAGCCACTGCATGCAAAGAAAGCTCCCGCGAGCGTTGTGGTTTTACTTTTTTTTTTTTAATAAAATTTTCATTACATTTTTTAAAAATATTGTATATCTAAATAATTTTTTTTATAGAAAAACTAAAAGAAGAAACATACAATGGTTTGTGATTCATTTTACCTTTGTACCCAGTTGAAAGTAGCACAAGGACAAATACATGAACTACATTCTTGTACATTTACCACTAGGTTTCACTATCAAGGTTTGGAAGCTTAAGACAACAGCTGTTGTAATAAAAAGTGGAATATTTGCTCGATATAGAAATGCTTCAGCAGATCTGTTTATTTTTGTATGTTTTTTTTTTCTATTCAAAATATGCCACATATTGACAGTTTTGTCTTATCCCTTATTACCTTCAATCCATCCATCTATTCTCTCTGTATCCACTTATTGCTTATTGCAGGGTCATGGAAGGTCTGGTATTCTTATTTATGCCCTTTATTTTTGCAATATTTTATGATAAAACCAGAATGTGTGCAATCCCGATTAACTCTACGACTCTTCTATGTTCTTCCTTTCTTTCACCAGCAGCGGCAACATAAAGAGCTGATGCTGCCTCCACGATTTCACAGTCGAGAAGGGACTGAGTGCAGAGAAGCACAGAAGACCTCAATTACTCCCTGTGAAAGCATATGCAGGGCATGGCTAACACATTCCAGATGTCAATATGTTGCATTAATGTCGCATGCTGGAATGAAGTGATCTACCCTGGAAAATATTAGACTCCATTTAATCCCCAGGAAATGTGGACAAACTGCAGAAAAAAAAAGAAAGAAAAAAAAAAGCACTTGTCTTTTTGGGTTTTGGAGCTGGACTTTCTTCTGCTGATCTCCTCTATGCATCACTGCAGTCATGTAGCAGCAATTCATACAAAACGAGCCCCAAACAGTTATTGAGAGCATATGCTGTGCAGTACTTAAATACAATTTGCTCTAGGCTGACATTCCGTGTTAAAAGTAATTTGTAATATTCAAATTTCCATGAGCTGTAGTTGCAATCATCAAAATGAAGTGAAATAAGCTCTAAGCTACATCACTGCTGTGTGTCTCGTCAATATAACGAGCTTCACTTTTGGAATTGAATTACTGTCAAAGGTCTGCTTTTCGCTGATGTGACTTACTGAGATGCAGCTGTAGCCTGAATAAGTTAAGGACGATATAAAACCACCTGTGTCCATTTACTCGGTTAATTGCTGTGCCGCTTGTATCCTCTGGCTGGTGAAGAAGGGCCTGCACGCCGAGCTGCTTCACACAATGACATTTGTCCACGAAAAACTACCCTTTGTTGGAGAACTGAAACCATTTCTGCTCAGACTTATGGCTGACTTCTACAGCTGCTCTGCGGTCGCATGTGAAACCGTTATAATGCTGTGCATGTGCAGTGAAATCTTCCTGAAAACTGCGCTCGTCGTCACCAACAGCGTGGCCTTTTACCTGAAAGTCATGCTGAAGCTGAACGCATTCCTCCGGCTGGCGCTGTCCGGGGAATTTTTACCCCCACGGTCCCTGGACCGAAGCGGGCCCCCGAGAGAGTCCGCCCGGCTTTCCTCCAACACCTTCAGGAACAACGGCGCCTCGCTGGTCCGTGGCGAAGAACGGAGAGCTGCGCAGTGGTTCAAGTCGGTCCATGCGGTGCTGCGTGTCCTACCTACAATCTGCCGCCGTTCACTGTGCGCTTCTGCGACCCTCCCGGCCCTCGTCCACATGGTCCTGCCGGTCCCCTCAGCTGTGTGCAGATGCCTCTGGCCCTTCGTCTCCACCGTTACAGCTTCTTGGACTTTTTACAAGACCACTGGGGACGATATTTCAAATGCTTGGTAACTACAATCTGTGGTCCGTCTGATTGGGGTTCATGTACTTGAATTTTGAATTCATGTAGCTAAGAATGGGGGGGGATGTCAATTTTTAACACTTGTAAAATCTCTTAACTGCATTTTTAATGTGTTTAATTTTAATAAATTAGCTCATAAGCATCTTAAAGCCTCAAGCAAGATATTTCTGTAAAATCAAGCCTGCCCAGGTGTGACATGAAAGCTCAGTTCTTCGGTCTACTTTCATGTGTACTCCCATCCCTGCCCTCCTCATTTTTTAAACTCTACTTTCTCTTCAGCTATGTCTTTTACTTGGGAGAAGCAGCTGAACATTTAAGCCATAAATGTACATTAAAAAAAAACTGCATGGATTTCAGGAAACTGCAGAAAACGTCTGGAAGTGGTTTTAGACTAGAGAACCAGGGCAGACTGATTTATTGATTATTTTGAGTCTAGTCAAAAAAAATGATTTGATTTAATTGCATGGTTTTGCAGAACTGCTGCTTCAGGAAAAACAAAAAAAAGCTTGCCAGACAAACCTCTAATTAGTAATTTTCCATTCTTGACTATAAATCACTTTGTATTTTAGAAACTCGGTATGTTCTTCTCCCAAAAGGTCATGAAGGTGTACATATGGTACTATATACATTTTTATTGTTGCAGAAACAAGGACTTGAGTAGTTTTTCAGTTTGTAAAGGTTGCTGAGCCCAGGCGTATTTGGCACCACCAGAGGGAGGACGCGAGGACAAATTTCAATCGCTTTGTAATCGGGAAAGTTATAGTATGAGGTCAGACTACCAAGTCAGGTGATACAAGCAGAATATGGCATTTATTCATTCTACGAGGGCAGATGCACACAAAAACCAATAAGATGGAACACAATTGAATTATACCAGTTATATTCTCTAAACGTATGCTTCAGCTTTGCCATGAATACTAGCATCCATCGTGGCTCGGGTCATTCCGGGTCATTCAGTTTAATTTTATGTAGACGTTTATTCTGAGACGAATGTCTCAGAATTTATGTCTATCAAAATTGGTTCATCCACATCGTGTTTATGAACACCAATTTATCAGCTTAAACCTTCTGTTTGTCAGTTTACATTGCATAAAATAAAATTGCACCATTGGATTTCATCTTTAAACCAAATAGACACATTTATTGTATCTAATAGCATCCCACTGGTCATTTCATCTCACAAAAAAGAAAAAAAAAAAGATGAGGGTTATAAAATTACCTGCAACAATATAATCCAGTTTCCCATCTCCTCCCTCCCCCTTTTTTTTCCTGGCTCAGGACCCGTTAAGGCTTGATTGTAAAGGTGATAAATATCTTCAAACCCAAAGTTTGCATTTCTACTTCATTGCTTATTGGAACTGTGCAAGTGTCATTTTCCAGGCATTCGAAGGAAAAAAAAAAATCCCATGGCTCACAGACACACAGAACATGTATGACTTTCTGCTTCAGTAAGCACAACATGGTGATTGCGCTACGTAAACTGCCTGCTTTACAGGCCTAAACATGTCTTCATACATTAAAATCCAGCTTTGCTACAAAACACAGTGGCTAAACACAAAATATACATGTTTTGGTTTGTGATCAAAGCCGTTACACAGATTTTTGGTTTGATATTTGAAACAGTAACATTCACTTTATAAAATAAAGTACCCTGCATAATAAAACAAAATCACTTAAAAAGGAGAAAAGAGAAAAAAAATAAGTAAAAAGAAAAGTAACAAATGGTCCCAGTAAGCAATGGCAACTGTCATGGTGGCAGGAGGAGAGCTTCAACTTCAGATAAGCGACGTTTTCATCACTTCATTTAGTTGCAATTAAAAACAAAAGTCAGTAACAAGATCTCAGTAAGGCAACAGAAAGGAAAATATTATTGTACCCATACTATTACATAATGAAGATCAGTAACATACAAAAGGAGAGGGGAGAAGGGGGGAAAAAAAAAAAAAAATTTCTACAATCCGACTCGCAGTGCTACTCCCATATCCTCAGAAGAAAAAGAAGAAAAGTCCGAGATGGGAAACGGACACAAAACAGAGCTGCAATTATGAAGAAGCGATGACCTATGGCTTGGAATGATTCCAGTCTATGGTTTACTCCAGCCATGGAGTAAAGCGCTTTAAATCATTAGCTGCCAAGGAAAGTTATCCAACTAACCTACAAATCATTGCACTAAAAGGAGAAAATGAGCCAGGAAGCTCTTTAAAGTAACCGCTTGGAGTCGACGGCTTGAAAGAGCAGCTCCCACAGAGACCAATCGGCAACAAAACTTGCTCACAACTTTCTAAACACAAAACCGTATCCATATGATCACCGATATCTTAAAAAAAAAAAAGACAATGTGACAAAGATGCAAGCACAGACAAATCTTCACCGACGGTAATTTGACGAGGATGCCCAGAGTTTCTAAGGAATCGAAAATAAAATGAGTGATATTCAGAAGGGGCGCCTAAAATGTTGCATTAAAAAAAAAAAGCATAAGAAAAAAGTGACAACTGGGGAGACGCAAACAGGATGAAGCTTTCTCTTTATACGGATGCTCCCTTGATGTCAGTGTTTGAATCTGTGTCTGCCAGGTTTCTGTCGTCAGGCGATGGAGGGTGGCCGTTACTCCACAGTCACCGACTTGGCCAGGTTTCTTGGACAGTCCACCTGAATTCAAACAGGAAAATTTAACTGATGAATATTTAATAATATAGTAGCAAATACAACAGGACTTCACGTTGCCTTGAGTTGCTGGTCTTAATAAGGATAATGGGCCAAGAAGATGTTCACTGATGACTAAATGCTGCTGGTAAACTATAAAAGACAATTTAGCTAAATCTGTGAAGTTGAAGGAAAATGGCTTTTAGTTTTTTTTTTCCTCTCTCTCTTTACAAATAAAATCCTTAACAGCTGCATTCAGCCCTCCTGACTCAGAAGAAAACCACCGTTCGCCACAGTTCCAGCTGCAAGTCTTTTAGGGTTCGTCTCCATCAGCTTTGCACTTTTAGAAAGTGAACATTTTGCCCTTTCATCAAAAACGTCTGGACTTTGACGGGGTCACCCTTTGATACAAAGCACTGCTGCACATTTGGCTGAATGTTTAGGCTCTAGGGACCAATGCCCTGCATACTTTAGATGTTTCCCTTCTGTCACACACCTGACTTGAATAAGTGGGTGATTAGCACGTGTCTGCAGCACTTGATCCATTGCACGCAGAGTAAGTCATGCAATCTTTTGAAACAGGTGTACTGGAACAGAGACATTATAATTATCTAAATTATTCAGGGGAGTGGTTCCTGATGACTGAAGTTCAGAATCGCTGCCCTAAAGGGTTAACTTAACCTTCATCCCAGGCTCAATTTCCTTGCTGCCAACAGGTTTGCTCTCAAAGCTCCCCTCTGTTTCGCTCCAACTCTGCTGAAGAAAAGCATAAAGCATGCCCGCAGCAAGGCCAAGTATTCGTGGGCTTGCAGTTGTAAAGAATAAAGGCGGCTAAATATTAATTCCTGGCATATTTTATTTATTTATTTTTTTGGTAAAGGAACACGCATCATTTTCAATAACCACCTTGTGTTGGTCTGTCACGATAAAATCCTTTCAGGTTTGTGGCTGTCAGCACTATAGTTATAGAACTGCTTCAATGTATTTTTCATTCCTGCACAAAACTGTAATTAAGACGATGTCGCTGTTTGGTGCTTCAAAAGATGCATCAGTGTTGAGTACTGCAACGTGACCCGTCTATTTCAAAAAGACCTTTCCTGAAAACTCACCTTATCTTGCAAGTTTCTATCATTAAATGAAAAACTTTTTACATTTTAAAATCATCAAAATCATTTCACTTATCTGTATATAAACACTCGGTGTTTATTTCTGATGATGGCTATCTGCTATGTTTGTCTACAAAGCAGGAGATATACAAAGAAACTCCTTTGGAGTGTGCTGCTGTATAGTTTTTCTGGTGATAACTGAACGTTTTTAGCAAAGAGAATGAAAGTGGGAAGCTTTGAGGATCAGTTTGCGCAGGTACACGTCAAGTCGGTGGTGACTGAAGTCACGTTCTGGCACAGCACTTACGTCGTATCCTCTGAGGACAGCCAGGTGGAAGGACAGCAGCTGCAGAGGGATGACGCTCAGGATGCCCTGCAGGCAGTCCACACAGTGAGGCACTTTGATGGCGCGGGAAGAGTTTTTGATGGTTTCGTGGTCGTCTTTGTCACAGATCAAAATGGGGCGACCCTGGAAATCAAGAGAGGTAGGAAAACAAAAACAAAACAAAAAATGAATATGAGACACAAAGAGAGACTTCCCTGCTCAGATTACCGTCGCCTTTCTTTTAAAGCTGCATGGTGCTACATATTACCGCAGGAAATGATGTCATGTTATAACCACCCCTCCCCTGTGTGAACTGAAGTGAAGAATCAGAGGTGTGGCTCAAAAAGGGATTAAATAAGTGACCTCATGGTCACGTCAGGCTGAGGAACGTTTGATTGTGTGGCAGAGCTGCACAATCACGGTCGTCATTGCAATATCAATGCATGCAATACTGCAACTGCAAATGACTATTTGGATGCAATACTGCATGAATATTTTGCATGCAAATAATATTTTGGGCTGGTTGGAAGCCTTTTAATGCCATATGAGTGGCCCTGATAGTGTTGAGCCAAAGAGACGTGATAATGTGTGTTAATCACAATGTTCAGCAATAGTTACATGTTTTCCTGGTTTTGTGCCGCTCTGACATATACAAAGAAAAGGGACGCTCTATTACGAACGTGATTAATTGTAAATTTTGTCCGTTTCCAAAGAAGTTCATACACGTATTTAAACCAAGACCGCTTCGTTTCACGCAACGGTGCCATTTTTAATATTTTTTGTAAATATTTTCAACAAACATTTGGTTTAGATAGCCCTTACCTGACGTGCGACGACTTGTTGCAGGGCGTTCTGGCATTTGGTGTAGGTGTGGTCCCTCATGATGATCATGATGACGGGCATGAGTTTGTCCACCAGAGCCAGCGGACCGTGCTTCAGCTCTCCTGCCAGGATACCCTCTGAGTGCATGTAGGTAATTTCTTTGATTTTCTGCAGAACAGACACAGATTAAACAAAGATGAAGCTTAAATTGTTGTAAACCAGAGCCACAGATCTTGCGCAACACTTCTCCCCAAGGAGAAGACCACATAAGACTCAGCAGTTTAATACAAGAATTATTCAAGACTGAATTTTTTTCACATAATACGCAGACATTAAATCTAGATGGTTCCCCTGACACCGGATTTATTTCTAAGCTCCTTCCAAATCGCACGTTGCATAAATTAAACGCAGCATTAAAAAGCTCAAATGAAAAGGGAGGGGTGGGGGGCGGTGAAGAACACGAAAGAACGTTCTGATAAAGCTTGTAAGAATTAAGTTGGAACTGCTCACCAGCGCTCCTTCCAAGCATGTTGCGTAATGGTAGCCTCTGCCCATGATCAGCACGCTCTTCTGCTGGTACAGCTCGGTCGCCAACTTCTGGATCTCATCGTCCAAACTGAGAACCTCCTTGATCAGATCTAACAAACAAAAAAAAAAACAAAAGCAAGTTTTTTTGTCCTTTTCTCCTGAGAAAAGGGTGATTACGAGCAGCGGCACTTTGATAATTATTCACGTAATCTCCATAGAAGTGCATAATATTTGAGTAGATATAGATATTTTTAATATGCATCAGCTAGGAAAACATGGCTAAATATTTAAATTTATGTCTCATATACGAAATGGAGTTCATCACTCCATTTAATGACTGATAAATCTTTAATGTAAATATGTAATTTTAAGGTGATTTTGACCATCTGCAGCAGGTAGAAATAGTCCTCTGGACTATACAAGTTCAGTCTGTTGACCATTTATTACAGTTTTGTGCTACAATATGTGCTTCAGGTCCAGGAAGTACACAACAAGCTAAAACCCAGTAGTCTGCCTTCCCCTCCTCCTTTTTGTTCCATTCTTGTCTCTTTTAGTTTTCTCATCCAAGCGTCTCAGTTGCTTTAATAAATAACAGGCTCTGAAAATTCTTTCGTTTTGGTTCCTACAGCTTTTCTTCTTTGCATTTTATCCTTGTACGGGTTTAGGACTTCCCTGGCTGAACTATACAGAGTGTTTGTGTCTGAATCTACCTGGAAGAACTCTCAGGCCCTGGATTATTTCACGGCGTCTGGGCTGCATGGAAATTCTGTCATCGCACATCAACAGCGCGAACATGATCAGAGCCACAAACTGGCTGGTGTAGGCCTGCAGAGAGAAAGGGGGGGAAAAGGATTACAACAAAAGACCACAAAACGAGTTATATTTATTTGTTTTCACCTTTTTTTAATTATTAAGATGACTACAATGGGATGGTGGAATACCGTTGCCAGATTACTAAACACGTGGTAGTTTTCTTATTTTTCATCAACATGCTGAACCTGAAGAACTGAGCCTTTTGTGAAGCTCATCGTCTCCCTGTTTTTAATGGGACTGATGCTAATGCATCCCAGATGGGGAAGGAAAGGAGAAGCGGGCCTCGGCATCAAACTGCTCATCCTGGAAAACCTGATGAGTCCGTAAAATTAGGCTTAAAATACCACACTGTTCATTCTAGAAATGCCACGGGCTCAACCCCTCACACATCTGAGCCTCCAAGTCCACCGTCATCACCACCCACCCTCTGGGCGTGTTTGGAGACTTTCCATGCCCACTTGTGAGCTTTAAGAGAAGCCAAGTTGATTCACAAGACCCACCGGGCTAAGAAAAAAAAGTATGTAAGCAGTAAAACCTGTTTTTTCTCCTGATACCACATTAGCTACAAGCCCTCAGAAATCTGATCGTCTTTGTTGTCTGCAGTGATGTAGCAACTATATATTCTACATTTCACTATGTTTTAAGGGGTTTTTAAAGCACTGCGTGACAACCGTTCTCTTCAGATATGATAAGAAACAACCCTCCTCCTTACTGTAACTCGACGACAAACTCTGCAACCCTCCAAGATCCCAATAACTGCTGTTATGTAATTCATAAAGTGGACATCTTCCAAGCTCCGTCATCAGATCTGACAAAAGGATTTGCATCAAAGCGTTTAGTCTTAATTCGGCACTTTTTCCATGAATCTTGAGAAGAACAATTGGAAAAAAAAAAAAAAGAAATAAAAGTGAAAACTGAGTTAGATGTTCCTTGCGGACCCGATGAGCTGGGTTGTAAAATGTTTGGTGAAGGTGGGTCTATGGCTCTGCTCACGCAGTCATAAATGATGGCGTCTCTGAGGTGTGCTCTGGGGCTTTGGAGCAGCAAGACAATCCCTGAGCCAAGATGAAAATCTGGACCAGGAAAAGACCTGCTTCACTCTCTCTCTCTCTCCCTCTCTTTGCTTTCTGCACACAAACTTGACTGAGGCTTTCAGTTTTTTTTTGTTTGTTTTTTTTTGCTCTCAGTCCCAGCTGGAAAATCCTTGTGGTTATGAAAGTGAGAAGAGGGAGAGGCATAAATACCAGTGGAACCGAATTCACATGAGACAAGTTGATAATGTCGGGGTTCTTCATTCCTGCTCTGCTGCATTAGAGCGCAAGACAATGTTAAGCTCCAAAAGGTGGGAATCGATTGCCGATGTCCTGGATTTCAAACAGTAGTGATCAGATTATGTGAGAGGAGCCAAAAAGAGCAGGTCGCCAGCTAGATTAGGCTCAGTGTTAACGGGTCAGTTAGCTCATAAAGAGAAGGCAGAAGAAGAAGATGGTTGGTTTGTGGCTATGGAGCAATTTCTTTGTTAATTTGGATGATTACTTTGACCAGTAATGACCCATCTTCAGTTTTCAAGAAGAGGTCACCAAACTTCCCAGTGCGCATGAGTTGCTTCATTCATCCCCTGCTTTGTGTCCAAACCCACCTGAAGTGTTTGCTGCAGCAGTTAATTAGTTGCACTAATCCGACAACAGCACATGGTTTCCTTTGGAGTCAGTAGTTTGTAAAACTCGACAGATTTATGTTAGTGATGATAGGACAGGAATTATATTTTCCTAGTATGTCTTCCCAAACAGTGGACTGGCATCCAGATAGGCTCTGATGGTTATTCTACAGACTTGGCAGAGATTCCACATTATGCAGCAGATTTTAAACAGTAAACTTTGGAGATTTATTCACAAACCTCCACGCTGTGTCTGGTGGTATGATAAACCCAGCAGCTTGTCTTTTCTAATCACAGTTTTGGTCGTTTTAAGATTTTCAATAATTGCACCGACTGTAGATGCGAGGAAGTTCAGGCCAGTAGCAATTTTTTTAAGATGTCCTGATTTATGAAAACCAACGCATTAGCTTTCCCATCGTTCCCATTTTCCGAAGTGGTGCCGTACTGTGGCTGTTAGAGATTATGTGCGTTTTTAGCCACATAATCTCTAAGGAGATGCACAAATAAATGAGAGACAATAAATCAATGAATAGATCACTGAAAAATTCGTCCTCTCTTCTGAGATCATGGTTACTCCCCTGTATATGTATTACATCATATTTATACCCCGGGAAACAAGTAGTCATGGATCTAATCAACTTAAAAAATAAACTATAAATCATTATTATTATTATTTTTTCTTTTACAAGAATTGTTTGTAGTGTCAATTTTATAATCTGTTATTCTGTAAAAACAAACTATTCATAATTATTTTTTACTCGCCAAGTAGATCTACTCAAATTAAAATTTTGATTTTTCTGTATAAAGTATGGATTATTTTTTTGTCAACTAATCTTTGACCAACATTTGTGAAAAGCAGTGTCAAGTTCCAGAAAGTCATGGAGAAATGACCCATTGATCTGGATCCATTTCATACTATGAGCTCTCTTTCACTCTTTGCCTGTTAAAAACAGCAACACGTCCATGAAGACGGTGGTAATACAGCCTGAAGGAGCAGCTCTGGCTGTCCTGCTTTACCTTGGTGCTGGCTACTCCAATCTCTGGGCCAGCATTAATGTGGACTCCACAGTCCGTCTCCCTGGAGATGGAGCTCCCCACCGTGTTGGTGACGCCGACAGTCAGAGCGCCTCTCTCCTTACAGTAGCGCAGAGCCAACAGGCTGTCGGCGGTCTCCCCTGCAGGGTTGGGAGAAATGCTCTTTGTTAGGGAACTGATTCGGCCAGAAGCAGGACTCTGAGTTAAGAAAGCTTCATAAGAAAGACCGTAAGGGCCACCATAGAAACGTCACACACTCAGGTAAAAATAAACTCATCAATCCTCCAGACAGACAGCTCCTCTACAGGGAGAGCCGAGTACAGATGGGGAATGTGGAGTTAATCAGGTTCAGACAGCACACAGATCCACACCTGACTGGCTGATAAAAAAGCAGACATCGTCTCGGAAGACCGGGGTGTTTCTGTCCAAGAAATCGCTGGCCAGTTCTACCATGACGGGCAGCTCGGTGAGCTCCTCCAGAACCTGCCGGGTCTGAGAAAGGGATAAAAAAAAACACGTCAGTGTCCTTCTGTTAAAACGAGCCAGTCAAACTCAAAGCAGGGGAATGTGGTCAGACGTAAACCTCCAGCCTGCATCCACAAAGCACAGAATGTAATTATGAGTAAATGGTGACAAGCCGGGGTAGTACTTACAGCTACTCCAGCATGGTAGCTGGTGCCACAAGCAATAAGGATTAGTCGCCGACATCTTTGGATTTCTTTGATGTGATCCTTCAGTCCGCCCAGTGTAACTAAAAGCCAAATAAAACCACCCATCAAAGGAATCCCTGGCAGGAACTGAAATGATGCATTAAGAACTGTATGCAACAGCTACGCAAATATATCCATGTCCAGTCAGGAAATTAACATTTATTTCAATATAGTGTGATGGAAATAACAAAACAAAAAAAAAAAAAAAAACCTTTGTTGCTTTGCAAAAGTGTTCATGTCTCTTGAGCTTTGCAATATTTTATAACATTACACATTTCAGTGTGACCCAAAAAAGTAGTACATAGTAGTGAAGTGGGTAAAAAAATACATGGTGCTACAAATATTTCATTAAAAAAAAAAAAAAAAAAATCTTAAAAGTGAGGCCTGCATTTGTAGTCAGCCCTCTTTATTTTCATATTACTAAATAAAACACAGCGCAACAAATTGTCGTCATCTCATCTCATTAATAAACCAAGTTCACCTTTGAGTAGCTTAAGAGTATTAATCTACACAAATCTGGCTCTTGACCAGTAGTCATTTAATGTGTTAGCCAAAACCATGCAGTGTCCTCAAGTCAGAAGAGACTAAATTCAACTTCTTGACCTACATGTGTGAAACATCAAACAAAAACACTACACAATTCCCTGAACAAACCATTCCCATTGTGAAACATGGTGCTGAGAGCGTCATGCTTTTTGGGAATGCTCATTTTCCAGTCTGGACAGAGAAGCTCGTTAGTGTTGACAAAAGAATGATTGGAGACAATCGTGGGGAAAAAAACCTGTTTGAAGATGTGAAATATTTGAGAATAGCGAACAAGTTCATCTTGTGGTAGAACAATAACGCTAAACATTCAGCAAGAGCTACACTGGAGTGGGTTTGGATCAAAACATCCCAGCAATAGCAAGAACAGCAAGAATAGCAAACAACTTTGTTTTGCAAAGTTGTTTGCAAAACAAGAGGACAAAATGTTTGTTCTCTAGATTTGCAAATGTGTTGGAGAAATCCCCGAAAAACTGGCAACAAAATGTGTTGAAAGCTAAAACATTTAAAATGAGATACATCATCAGTGCACTTCATAGAAGGCCAATTTAACCAAATCTCTAACCTGTGTTGTTGTCAAAGTTGATTCTTCCTCTCATGGTATTCACCACAGACTCCGGCTGCTCAAAGATCTCCTTCTGCATGAAGGAGCTGTAGTTGCCTGAGAGATGAGGAACAGAAAATGGGAAAACATTTACTACACGAGCACAAAAAAAATAAGCTGTGATATCTTTAGAACATAGTTGATCTTATGGAGAAATCACTCTTATGTTCTAAGAAGTTGCCAACACTTTTGATTTTTGGATCCAACAACCTTGTTTTCACAGCGTTTCACTAAATGTTCTGACTTCCTAGAACTGCAGGGAGGCATCTCCTTCTCCTCTAACGTATGTTCAGAATTAAGATTAATTATGCAACTTTAAGGAAAAATCTAAAATAACAACAAAGAGGCTTAAAGCAGATGTTTTCGTCTCAACAATAACAAACCGTGACAGTCAGAAACTCTGCTGTTTCTTTAGCCTCTCTTCAACAGCAATGTGGGTCACGCAAAGTAGGTTATTCAGCAGAAAAACTCCAGAGAAGAGACAGAGGAGAGAGAGAGAGAGAGAGGCTGAGTAATGACAGGACCATAAAGGAATGTGAAGTGGAACCAACATCAGTTCTCCCACTGCCTCCTGCTGGACTATTTTGGAAAAGCAAAAGGGGGCGGGGGAAGCAAACATGATAGTTTAACCTGAAATTATTGCTGTGGTGAGTTCGCTTAAATTAAGATGAGAATGTACTGCTGCACACGGAACCGGCAGGAACTAGAGACAACAAAGTTCAAGAGGGTTCACCTTTATTTTATGCGACTTGTACATTATTGTTTCAAAACATTTTTATAGGTGAAAGCAACAAAGGAGAAGGAAAAAAGTGTGATTTTCATTTAGATGATTTACAGTGGATATTTGTGCAGTTTGATGAATGATAAAATGAACTTGTTAAAATTCTAAAAAAGAAGAAATATTCACTTACCAGGCTTAGTCAATAAAAGAAAGTATATTATACGCACATGAAACTCAGATTTTATAACAGTCATAAAATCATTTAATAGCAATTCATCTTCTGGGGAATGCAGCTAATGCAGAACTGCTTTAACTGTTTCACTGATAACACAGTTCAGCTGAAGGTAAAATGTTAAGGCAGCTGAGCTCCAGCGGCAACAAATATGCTGCACAGCAGGATTTTAGGGAAAATTACAAGGCAGTGTCCAGATGATTTATTTGCAAAGGATTAGCAATGGAAAGATGAGAGAAAATACAAAACACAAAAGGTTGAGCCTCCACTCACCCTTCATAATCTGCTGCAGCTCCATCTGCAGAGTCTGGATGGCGCGGGCCGGGTAGTCCCCCACCCGGCGCTTTATCCTGTGGATGGACAGCCGGCCTTCCATCACGGCGGCAACGTCGTCATCCTCCAGGAAGATCACCCGGTTTGTGTGCTCGATTACAGCGCTGGCGTTACAAGAGATCAACCAGAATCTAAATTAAACATTTCATTCTAGCTACATTTATCAATTCATTTAAAGGTTTTTTTGGCCTTTATTCATTAGTAATGTGCCTGGAAGAAAAGCAGGGAAAGAAGGGGGAGGACACAAACTCTAACCAGAGTTCCTGGTCTTGTTTAGCATGATACTTCCTCTGTCGAGGAGATGGTGTGGGAATGTTAGTCTTCTACCTAATCGGGGTGCCTTGTTCTACCTGTTTGCTGTGTCCACTACAAGGCTTGCAGCCAATTGTGGAGGGGATTTGTTGACCGTTTCTCTGACCTCCCTTCTGTGTTCCCAGGGTCTTCATTATGCACTTATTTTTTCCACTAATGTTTTCTAAAAGACCTCTGGAGCTTTCATAGAAAAGAAGGATTAAATCACAAATATGTCTACCTACTTTGAAATTTAGTTTACTTCTGAGAGCAAAATGTGCCACAAAGTTTTGTTTATGGATTTCAGAGTAAAGGGGTCAGACTACAAATTGCACCACTAATTTTGAGATTTTTACTGATAAATATTGTTTTAGAAGTATACATCTTTTTAGTTCCATTACACAATCGCTCACAACTTGTGTTGATCTGTCAAATACAATCCTAATACATTCACGTTTGTGGTTCTAATGTGAACATTTGAAAAGTTTAAGGGGAATATTCGCCAAGTACAGTCAGCAGTGGAAAGGGGAAGACTGCTCTGGTTGATGCAGCAACACAGGCGTCTTCTTACCTCGCGTCAGATGCAAAGTAATACTCCACAGCTTTCTCATCCAACGGGAACAGGCAGGTGTCCTGGTCTGTCCTCGGCAGGGAGCTGCAGCTCTTTTTCTCTTTTCCAGCTGTCGAAATAAAACAATTAGGCCTCTGGTTCCAAATCTTCCTATTAAATTTAACTTATTCGGACTAGAAAGAGACGAGACTACTCACAGCAGCGGTAGAGCACTGGAATATGATCGGTGGACAGCTTGTGATCACTGCGCACTCCCATCAGGAGAGGACTTCCTCTCCTGCACATAAAACATGTTACACGAGTGAGAATTTTACCGTATGTAGGTCCCCAACTTAAGCAAAGAAGTAGAGATGTTATATCGTCATGATTAAAATAGAGAAGTTTTTATTGTCATATTTTCCTTGCATCAGTACCTTGTGCCAATTGCCTCTCCAGGGTAATGGACACTCTTGAAAACCAGGGCAAAAGCTCCTTCCTGCCAGGTAAAACCCAGGTCAACATGTTAAGGAAAGCATTGTATCTCTAATTGCGCATGTTTTTAGTAGCTTTCCCATACCAGCTGCTGGATCACACGCTCTACCAGTGTGGCGAAGTTGATGTCGTCACTTTCCCGATTGTCATACATGTACTTCACCAGCTTGGCGATGGTCTCAGTGTCTGTCTCCGACTCAAATTCATAGCCTTTGCTCTCCTGTGGAATTAATGCGAGTGGACGAGTCGGTTTTTATGAGACAAATAAAATCAGATCGACTTTTGTCTTATTTTGCAACGCAATAAACATTTGCTCACCAGAAACTTCTTCAGGTCCTTGTAGTTGGTAATAATCCCATTGTGAATCACAATGAACTCTGCAAACCAGAGAGAGCGTCGTAATGTTTATAGATCCGTGACAGCTGCACGCAGTTCAAACGATCTGAGCTGGGCCGTTTAGTTTGACCTTTGTGAAACAACTGACCATTGTTCTTGTCAGATCTTTGCGGATGACTGTTGACTGGGCTGGGAACGCCGTGGGTCGCCCAGCGGGTGTGAGCGATGCCCAGGTGAACATCAACTTCAATATCCAGGTCAAGATCTTGCTGTTCTAGAGGTCAAACAGAAAAAAACACAACGACAACAAGACATTTTAAATGCCCCATCGTTCTATGACTGACTGTTTCGGAAAAAGCTTAATCTCAGCTTACTGTGAATCTCCTCATCGAGAGCCTTAACTTTTCCACGCTGCTTGATCAGATGGATAGTCTTGGCATTCGACTCCCAGTCCTTGCTGTTGCCTCCATCGATGCCGACACCTGGCAATAAGAGGAAAAAACAAAGTTCGTAATTAAATGCCTAATAAAGTACCTTAGCAAATTACATCTAGACTCTGTGGTTAAGGATTCATCTGGAATAACTGCAGCTCAATATCCAAACACTGTTTGCCACAATAAACTAATTCAATTTGTTTATTCAATAAACAAATTCAATTTGAATTTTATTTGAATTGAATTTGAATAAATTCAAATCTGTGCAACAAAGCACAGACTTCACAAAGTCTGTGCTTTGTTGCCCAGACTTTGGTTTAAAACAAAAGCCATGCTAAAGCCAGTGCCTGGAATCAATATCTAATCGTCATTAAAACTGCCCTAAGTGGGGCGCGGTTGTGGCGCAAGAGTAAAAGCACGTGACCCACATATGGAGGCCTTAGTCCTAAACGTGGCCGTCATGAGTTTGAGTCCTTTGCTGCATGTTTTCCCCTCTCACAACCCGCTTTCCTGTCTGACAACTGTCAAATAAAAGACCACTTAGAGACGAGAAAACCTTTTTTATTAAATGGTCTAAAATGAACACAGCTGGTTATTACAACAGCACACTGCCTTCAGAATGAAAAAAAACAGATTATCATTAAGCCTTTGAAAAGCCCTGACCTTAACTATACTAAAAATCCAGAACCACAAAACTAACCACAGAATCGTACAAAATCAGCTTGAATCACTTTAAATTAAACACTTTTTTTTAAGTGAATAACTATAATAAATAAACTTGTAGATGGCAACAAAATCCATGTAATCAAGGTGCTGAGACATATTTAACCAAATATTAATATTAGTATGTTTGAGCTTGTATGTATGTTTGTAAAATTTTCCTTAATGAAAACGTCGATAAATTAAAATGTGTGCATCTTCTTATTTTTAGAATTCACTTAAGATGTGTGTTGCATCATCATCCCACATTGACATACAGACCAATTTAAATGTGTTATTAAAAGCCATAAATGGATAGCTGAATGAGTACTTCAGTCAATAGAAGCGGTTTTTAAGTCTTGCTGAAAGCTTGAAGCCCTGAACATTATGTGCAATCTTTTCTCATATACACAATGCGTATGGTGTACTTCTTATATCCAGAGTGCACTTGTCTTTTACACACTCCCCAGTACACCACTAGATCTCAGACTCTGAGTTCTTTGACATATGAAAAACAAAAACATTTTAAACAAATTCTGCTCGAAACCAGGAGCCACACCAGTCTAAGACCTATTTTCCCATATTTCAAAACATTATTTTAAATTTGATTGTTTGAAAGTTTCAAACAATGAGACACAATTGCCTGAAATGGAAAAACAAAGTTGTGGTTATTATGTCCTTCCACCATCTCTTTACCTGCTGAGTCGTAGCCTCTGTATTCCAGGCGTCTAAGACCTTTAAGAAGGATCTCAAGGATGTCACGGCGTGTCCTTGGCACATGGTAGTTGAGATAAGCAAATATTCCTGAGAAACGGGAAAGAAAACAAAGAGATTACGGTAATTAAGCAAAATGTTTGCTAGGCTAAAATACCTACATCAGGTGGCAGTGATAGTGGTTGTTCAACAGGTGGTACAAAGCTTTTATCTCAGTGATGTACATATAGAGCCAAATTACAACAAAACGGGTCCAATTCATATTCACAGTGTAAATACAATTCAAATACAGTGAGGAAACATGTTGGATATTCTCTCTGACAACCGACATTAATATTTCTCAAACAAAAATTGTCAATACATGACCATTACATTTGGGAAAACTCAGACTGGTAAGTTATAAAATTGTAAGTACACAAATTGTATTCCGTTTTTGGCGAGTACTCTGAGTCAAATATTTGAAATTCAACCATTTGTCAACGTCAGCAGACTTGTGAGTAATTCACAAGAGACCAGTCTTACAGGAGTCTAAAAACAGACATTGCTTTCATCTTTGTTTGCCTTTACAGAACAGGATGCAGAAGGTGGGTCAGTGACGAAGGCATTTTAACAGCGGCATCGGGAAAAATCTTAGTCCGAGACATTTTGATTTTAAGCCATTTAGTATCAGAGCAATAGGTTAATAAAGATTTCACTCTGAGACCGTCTACATTTCAGTTCAACAGCTTCCAGAAGCAAGGACACAATTCATGGCCTGAGGAGAGTGTGAAATTACAAAGAGTTTCTCAGCTATTCAGGCACAGATAAATGCAAATCTTGAACTTGGGAGTGGGGGAAAACAAGCTTGAAAACAGAGACCTCATTCAGCATAGCAAGAGATGGACGGAAGAGGTGAGGGGCAGGGAAAAATAATAAGTGACTCACAGGAACAATCTTTGACAAAGCATTGAGGCTGAAAAAAGTAAACGGTTAATCCGAGCAAAGTGGTGGCAGGTGTCAATAGGAAAAAATAGAAACGAGTTTTTCAGGTCCTGTTGGTCTGCTCAGATTGTAAACACAGGTGATGGGAGACAGGTACATGAGCGAAGAAACATACTAAAGAAACGAGCTATAGACGAAAGCATTATATGCAAATATGTTTCTCTTTAACATAATGCGGGTGGGAAACATGGCAAACAGAGCTACTGTTTTCAGTTTCAGGACAAAAGCTATTTTTAGATTAGATATGAACATAAAAGGTATTCCCAATCATTTTAATCAATACATAATGATAACAAAATAGCAAGTGGAAAAGTTAGTACGCGTCATCGCAAGCCCCATTAGCTATCTGACGTTAGACGGAAGAAAGCAGGAATTGTACTTATATTAGTCTTACTCGCGAATACACACACAAAGATAGCTTTCATGTCAAACGGAACGAAAAACAGCAAAGAAATTACTGTTTTATATATAGCTGAGGAGCAGCATCAGTAACACCAGCTCATGTTCGCTAACTGGACAGTTAGCCACCCAGCTAACAGCCACCACACTAAACAAACAGTCGATACCGTTTTATTTTTGTCTGTTTTCACACCCATATAAGATATGATAGCGTAACATTCTAAATGAATGATACACAAGTACAATAAGCACTCACCACACATGACTGCAGCGCTGTTGTGAGATTCAGCTACTCAGGTCTAAGGAAGCTGGGGACGCCTGTCAGTTAGCCTCGCCCCCTTTCCGACTCTCCTGAGCTCGAACTGCCTCCTTCAGCCCCGTTTTGATTGGTCGACGCGACTGCTAAGGCCGACCTCCTTCTTCAACAGCAGCATCTAATTGGTCAAGCGTCGTGTCAGTCTGGTTGCGCCTACAAACACGTATATACTAATGACGTGGCATGAGGATGAAAAACCGACATCACCAGTAATGGGATGACTGGACTTCCTGTCTGCATCCAGCGGCGATGAAACTAATTAATAAACCATTAGTGTAATTAATTGTAACGCGCAAATTTCTAGGCTAACAAAGCGAAAGACATTAAACCCATTATTAGAATTTGGACCATCGCCACTCAGAGCATTTCAGTTTATTTCAGTGATTTTACAAATTCTATCATTTTTATTTTAGACAGTAGCCATATTTGCAAAGTAGTAGAATTTTATTTTTTTTTACATAGAATTATATCGTAACACATACTTGAAATTTGGCTAAATTACATTTTCTGTGTCTAAGTCATATTTTAGGCCCTAACACCCTAACATCTGCATGCACAAACAAAGCAAAACACTCAAACACAATTACATACACATATGCAAATATTCAACCACACACCTACATTGTACACGCTAATTTTAGTATGATTACCACAACAATATTGAATGATATGAATATTTTCAGACATTGTATTTGACAATCTCACACTAAAGTGTTTTTCCAAGACAATGGATTCAATACACTGAAACTACAATCACTACAATCCTTGTGGTTGGGGTTTTGGTTGTAATGGCCTCCCCTTTCTACAATATAATAGTCTTGCACCACATTAAGTTTTGGCAATTCTTAAAAAGTAATTAAAAGAAAAATAATTATTAAATAATATTTAAAGAAAACATTGAGTCTTCAGTTCAAAGTCATACAACAAAGTCACAAATTAAGACTAGAAAACAGTAATGAAATGTAAAAGTATGTTTCAGCAGGGCTCCAGTCCCTGTTGAATTTATAGGAAGTCTTCTTCATGAAGATAGGTTCAGGCTAGCAGGTCTGAGAGAAAGATTAAATCACAAGCAGCAAATAGCCGTTCTATCAAAAACGACAAGTACAATGGCTGCTTTATGAAAACAACTAACAGTATCAATTATTGCCATCTTTGTACATCCGTAACTGAAGCATGGCTACAATAATGATCGGTTTTTACTCTCACAGACAAAAGGAAAGCTAAACTAAACCCTGAACATTTAAGTATGAGCCACAGACACAGCAACACTTATTTTAGCAATGTTTATTTATATAGACACAGCATACATTCTGTAAAGATAAAGTATCCAATATGAATTTTCAGCCTATAGGCAGCGTTGACTGCTGACTGATTCAGAAGTCGTGTAACACTATGAAAGAATAAATACAAATTATTTCAACTGTACAATCTGTTTCTATGAATTGTGTCCAACATATCTTTCAATTCCTCAAACCAGAACTATAAAACGAAATGAAAATATTTGGATCAATATTGAGAATGTGTTTGTTGTCATCAGAGCAGAGCTGAGTACTTTTATTGCATCTATGGCTTTGATTGAAGGAGGTGGATTGTATAGAGAGGAATGTTGACACACGTCTCTTGTTTCAGTAGTTTAAACTTGAGCCGCCTCCTCATCATCTTTTACCTGTAAGGGAAAAAAAATTAAAAAATATATATATATATCTTTAGACAAAAAATTTAGAATAGTTTATTCATTTACTGCATTTAATATTTTGTCTCCTGTACTGTATCCATAATAAATCTCAGTAAATGTTTAGTATGAGGCTTTTTTTTAAACAAAAAGTTTGCTCAAATAATACATTATCTGACACACAAGTGATCTGAACAAAATTAGCCTTTTTTCTGATTATTTATTTAAAAAGAAAAAGAAAAATTCCCCTACTAAAATGTCATCTGGATCTCTGGAACTCGATTTTATCCATTTCCATACATCACCACTGAAATGGAGATGTAAGGAAATCTGGTGAAAACATCACCAGATGTTTTCTTTCTCAAAACTTGGTAATAAGGACTTCGTTATTAGCGGTCCATTTGCTCATATCGACAAAGGCAGCTCAATACCACAGCCTTGATATTTTTTTTAGGGAGAAGAAATTACGCAGAATGGCAAACTGAGTTTTTCATTTTCCCAAAACAAAGCATCATTCTTAAAAGACCCACTGGAGTAACTAGATGAAGCACAGTAATTTCAGTAATTTTAACAAAACAGTGTCCCAAAAAAAAATCATAACCAACAAAACGTGCAAACCTCTTCAACTGCCTCAACCTCAGGTATGTAAAACTGCAGCATGTTTTGGATTCCATTCTTCAGAGTAACAATGGAACTGGGACAACTGGTACAGGCGCCCTGCAGCTTCAGTTTAACAATCCCATCGTCAAATCCCCGATACAGAACGTCGCCTCCGTCCTCCTGCACTGTTGGCCTGCAGGGTGAGAGCATCCACGAACGTGAAACAGCGACAAACCACAGAAACGGACGCCCCGAAAGCATCTACAGAACCCACTACCTTATTCGTGTATCCAGCAACTCTTTGATCATAGCAACTACTTCATCATCATCCTCTGATGGCGCTGGAAAAGAGCAGAAACGATAATCATTTGCCACTTGGAAAACTCAAGTTTAAACTCAACATCTCATCCTACAGGTTGAGTAGACTGAAATCCAGACCTGTGTCTGCACTTGGCTTGCTGTCTTCATTCACAATTGGAAGCCCAGAAGTATAGAAGTCCATAATAGCCGCATAAACGTCGGGTTTAATTACTTTCCATTCCACGGTTTCATCGGACTAAGCAAACAAATTGAGAAAGAGAAATCAAGTTATTTAAAGTAATGATGTTGCATTGTGCTACAATAAATTATTCAAATACAATCTAAAGCTTAAGTACACCCATCATAAGTTGTATAAATCGGGGCTTTTCATGATGCGTCTTAAAATTTCACCTCCTCCCATTGCTTTTTCGTAACTTTCAACCTACTTACATAAATCTGTTTTTTTATTTTAACCACACATCATATTTAAAAAGGCTGAGTTGGTTAAAAAAAAGAAAAAAAAACTGGTCAGTTTTCTGGTGCTGAGCCAACTGTTAGGCATAATCTGCTGCTTTTTTTTTTTAATGAAAATGAGGTTCTGACAATTTCAAAAGCTTAATGTTAATCTGCTTTAGACATTCTTGAACCAGTCTGGAATTATACAATTATATACATTGAAATTATAGTGCATGATATGTTTATTTAAAGTTTGGACAGGTGCTGAATGCTATACTGAAATTCACCTTTGTGATTGTGATAAAATCAGGGCCCAGGAACACACTCTTAACTCCATCGATCCTAAACAACTGTCTGAAGAAAACAAGAATATGAGAAGTATAAATATATAACACAAGTTCATATATTTTTATGCACACAACAATCATCCAACATTTTAAAAGAAATTTATGTCCATCTAATTTGGAATAAAAGCAGCACAATTAAATCAAACTTAAAGGGAACAGCCAGCTGCAACATCAAGGACATCTGGAGGCTTATGGAGAAGTCAAAAGAACCTGAGGTTTTTTTTTCTTTAACTTTTTTTCAGAACGGAGGCTTTTGGTTCCCATGCTGTCGATATGGGGGTGGGGGGAATAAGCACATGCAGTGTTTTAAAATATAAACCTACCTAATAAATAAAGTGAAGGATTTATTCTATCAAGTGTGCTTATTGTCCCATCTGTGCTTTAGTAAACAATATGAGAACATTTTATGAAGAAGTTCTAAACCTGGCTAATGGTGAGCAGAATGCATCACGGGGACCAGCAAAATTCATGGTCCCCTCCTCTAAAACTGTCTGCCCAGGCAGAAACTTCAGACTGTTTGGATTTGGTGTGTCCTGTGTCTGCACAAACATGGTCCTTCCTGAAAAGAGACAAAACACAAGGAGCAGAAATGTAGTTTGAGATGCGAAACATTCACAGTGATGTGTCTATGTGACTTATATGTACACATATAAGATTTTCTCACAGTGCGTGATCAGCACAGTCAATATTGTATCAGCATCCAGGTTAAATGAACAACAGAAAAAAAGAGAAAGAACACAAACCAGGAACCAGCCAGACTGCATTTTGTGGCCATCTGTTGGAGACTCCAGTGGCTTTTGAGGGCCAATAGATTCTACTGCTCTGACAGCCACTGCTGGCCAGTCTGAAATTTTAGATAAACACATTGAAACACACATGTGAGCATATAAACCCTAATATTAAACATTAATGTATTCCGGATTGGGAACGTAATAACAGTCACAGATATCGTAAATTACAGCTGACAGACTGAGATCCGGACTCAAGATTGAAATTTAGGGGCAAATTCAAATTAATTAAGAAGAAAATGTCTCTTGCTAGTAAATTACTCCATGCCTAACCGCAAGTGTCTGAAGAATGCGATTATAATTCATTCCCAGATTGAAATGAGATCGGATTTGATAAAATATTATCGCTGGATCATCCATCCATCCATCCATCCATTTTCTTACACGCTTCTCCCTAGTGACTTCGTCATGGGTGCTGGTGTCTATCTGCAACGGTCAACAGGCAAAGTACACCCTGGATAGATCGCCAGTCCATCGCAGGACCGCTGGATATTTTTCATCATCAATGATAGTACTTAATGATAATTATTAAATTGTGGCCACAAGTTATTAAGCCGTGCCCAAGTCGTTCCCACGAGTTGTTAGGTCGTGGCTATGAGTTCCTGAAGCGTCTCCCTGAATTAAACAAGTCGTGGTCAATATTTTTATTTTTTATTTTTCTCCGTAGACTATGAATAAAATAATATGTTTTATATTCTTATTCTTATGGTGAAACAAAAGTCTTTCTTTTAGAGTGTGTCTAGTAGAGGTGGCTGCGTCACTGCATGTTTAACCAGCAAGTTCTCCTCAGCGCTTCTTCACACACCGAAAAAAAAAAAAATAACAGAAAACATGAGAGAGCAGCGCCTGCATCCAGTTAACCAACAAATATACTCACGGTCGCAA